TAAGCCGAAACTCCGTTTGAAACGCTAAATCTCAAGAGTGTTACACGATCGCTCTCCCTAGTGTGGCACTACGACACCTTCTTTGCCCAAAACAAACCAAAGTCAAATTGTTAGCTAATAAAATTAAGACTCAATTTCAGCAGGTGGTAAAAGTTCCAGTATTTAAAGAAAAACCAACTAATAATACTATTTTCTTTACAGAATTTTACTTATAAGCCCATTTGTTTTGTTAAAAATACAATCTTTTGTTTTGAATATTTAAACTGGCTTTGGACAAGTAATTTCTTAAACTCATCTCTGACAAATGCACGAATGTTTCAGTAAAAATAAAAATACTTCTGCTTTTTGTAATCCAAAGGAGGAGGGGTTAGTATTAGATTGTAATTTTTTTTGGTAATTTCAGAAACACTTGTTTTCTAATTTTTAACAACTAAATTCAGCAAAAGCACTATTATGTAGGGTGTCTGAAAATTTTTGACAATATATTTTTATCTCAATAATCTGTGCATCTACTAATAAAGTGAGAATGTGAGTAAAGTTCAAGTCTCGATTGATCTAGTACTAGCATAAAAAATTGATATAATAATAATAATTAAATTTGATGTTTGAGAGATCTGCTTGAAGAAACCCATACCCTAAACTGTATGGAAAATGTCTATGTGAGAATAACAATGTTACTATTATTACATCTCTGAAAAAACGACCAAATTGCAAAAACAAATTCATCAAAAGTTAAGAGTTGACAAGGGACCCAATGCACTGTCTGAACATACAATTTACAGATGGATTGAAGCATTTGAAGATGTGAAATGTAAGCATTAAAGATGACTCCTACTCGGAAGTCCTCTTGCAAAGCTTTACTCTCAGAAATTTGCAAATTGATGAAGAACTACTAAATAAGAATCCCATATTAATATAATTTTAAAAAAAAACAGAGGAGTAAGGTTGGAAGACCTTTAAAAAACAATTAAACATGTTTTACATGGTTAACTTGATCTCAGTAAAGTATGTTCAAGATGGATTTTATATTAATATGTCATGTAATTTTTCACTATGACAATGCATTACTTTACAAGGCACTGTATATTAATATGTAGTTAATAGTTACTTAAAGAAGAAGTCTAATTCATGTCACATCTTTTTGTCAGTTTATATCTGGCTTTCTGTGACATTTTCAGTTTCTGTAATAAAAAAAGAAGTAGTTTCAGAATGTTAAAGACCTTGCATAAGCTGTTCAGACTGTGTCTAATAATATATAAAAGAGGTGTACTGTAGAGCCTTTGATATTGGCAAAAAGAGCCGAAACATTGTGTACCGATAGATGAAGAGTACTTTGAAGGAATGTGATAATTTATTTTAAAGTTATTATGTACATTTTCGAAAATAAATATATTTATCTTGTCAAAACTTTTTCAGACACCCTACGTAGCAGCCATTGAGCTTTGACAATTCCAGGATTAGTTACTTCGGAAACAAATGCTGATATCTTTGTAAACTACTCGATTTCTTAAAGAAAAGTTCCAACACAGAATTGAAATCTAAATATTGAAAGGCCTTTCGTTGTCATAACGCTGAGTCTCATGTAATCCAATTGTACTTGATTTTTCACAACTTCAACAATACAGCAATTTACTGTTGTATTGCGATGTAGTTACTTAACCAATCCAAAACACTATCACACTTGAATTTAGTACGTCCAGGTATCATGAAATACGTTCATAATAACTGCAAATTCCTAAGTACAGATAAAATCAAATGATAGCATTATCTTTATTCTGTCCACCCGCGTTATCACAAACAATTTTCAGACGCTCTTCACCTTTATCTCTTCTAATTCCATTGAATACCATGCTCAGCGTGCCATTAGAACCTTTGCCAGTATTTCGTTTTCATCGAGACATAATTAATCTGTTTGCGGCAGCTTCATCTTGAATACCAAAAAATAAATGTGGACTAAGATAATAAATTTTACTTACTGTTGATCGGAATGTGGGCACGTGAACATTTTGCGCTCAATAGTAACTGTAATGAGCAGTCGCGTCAACGCTACAATGATCAACTTTACCTCCTGTTACAAAGTAGTTATCATCTACTAATTTCCTTCGTTGTTTTGCTAATTTCGTATTTCGCTGTAAGTAATTTTTTTCTAATTTAGCCTTAACTAAATGTTTTTTAGTAAATTTTTGCTTCTTCTTCCTTACGAGCATTATGCTGTAGGCTGTTCCGAAAATGTTGGCGCGTGTCGCATAAATTTGTTCGTGGACTGAATACAAGGCATTAATTGGTACCATAACTTACGAAATGCATCATATTTTAGCAATTTCAACGTGCTATCGTTCTCAAGAACTGCAATAAAATTACGATAGACCGATTTATAACTCGTTTCAGCTGGCAATAGTGTAAGCGATTGAGTAACGCGATTGACATTTCTACCCGGACTTGGTAATCCATGGATTTCAGCATAGTTTTCGAGAAAATTCTTCACGGCAGTAGCAACGTTTATATCAATGGTTATTTTGGTTTTCCATCGCGGTACTCGTTTGATATTACCGTGAATGCGCGGTATTATACCATTCATCGCTAGGTAATTTCTGACATTTTCGAAGTGTGTGCGGCCAATTCCTAACATATTGAGATACGTTTTCTGACAAAGCGGCGTATTTCGATCTCAGTAGTAAATGTTCGCTTATTAGTATGCGCTTTCTTTTTAAGACGTCGACTGGCAGTTATTTCTCCATCATTCATCGCTTTCAGCTGGGCCATTAAAAATACATCTTGTTTGGGTCTAGAGAGAGCTTGAAACGCCTCACGTAATTTGGCAAACTTCTCTCTTGGAATCTCCTTTGAGCAACCACAATTGCAACCTGTCTCTAAGAAATGTATTGCTTTTTCATATTCATTTGAACTATTATAATTATAATTTTTCATATACAGCTACTCCTATATCGATATCACTTCATGGCTTTTTTTATCTGCTTTTCTTTTTTTTAGTAATAATAGGCAACTTTCTTTTTCGTTTCCACTATAAATGGGACATCAAAACAGTTTATTTGACAATAGAATTCACCTCGTTATACAGAAACGTCATAATCTGTGTGATCAACTAGCCCTTAAGTTGCGGGTACAATACCTTCTGGCACTCTCAACACATGTCGGACAGTAGTCCCTTTAGCACGCAGAACGCAATAATTAATCTCATCAAGCAGTGCTTCTTGTTTCTTGAACTCGTCCTACAGAACATCCAAAATCCAAGATTGAGCATGTATTAGTATGCAAAGATGTTGCATAAGTTTGTCTGAATACTTACATGTAAGATCGCCATCATGCGCAGGACTGATTTATATTGTTTGCGCGCACTGAATGAGAAAGGCATGACACAGGAGGCAAGTTCCATCACTATGAAACGACCATCAGAAAGCATGCTTGTGGAATATAGAGTCAAACGTGAACCTTGGGATAGAGCAAGGCAAGTTTAGCATCATACATATTGTGCATGCAGAACGAAGAAAATTCCAAATGTTTAAGAAAAGCAATTACTTATTGCTTGCATGCAAAACACTTTGAGCTGTGCTGCTAGCCCGATGTCAGTGTCGAGGTGGTTAAGAAGCAGAGACACTAAGTTCAATATGTCTGTCCGCAGTGTCTTTTTCATATCACCCACTGTATGTTTCACTGTTGGTTGCCAAGGTGGGCCTGCAACCTCCATATGTCAGATTTCCTGGTCATCTGAAATTCGAGTGCCCTTTGCATCAACAAGAACAATGCCAGAATTGTTTGTGGATTTGGTTATTTTGGCAGCTCTTTCATGTGATTCAACCCAGTCAAAGGTCATGGTCTGGAAGGTTGTCTCATAAAATTTAAATAACGATGCCAGGTGATAAATGATGTATTTTCGTTCACTTATGTGGCGGCTCAATGAATGGTTGATATCCACTAGGTGGTAACTATGGATATTAAAGGACATGATATAGTTAATATGTGTCGAAATGTCTTTTTCACAAACTGACTCAGTAAATTCTATACACACAAATCAAGAAGGATTTTCTTGCAGTACAGATGAAATTGTTCATAGTTTCCATCAGCAAGCATAGCAATCTCAAATTCTGGACAACTTTTCTAAGAGAAATGAGTTTTCGATTATCAAAAATGTCAACTACTGTATTAGTATAGCTGTGGAAATTACCGTTACACTCACTGCCAAGACACTGTCAACATAACTTTCCAAACTTGTTGTCCAAACAGGTGGGTTAATATCGCGCACAGTGCATGCTTTGAGAGCTAAATACGTGCCAATCTCCCTCTCAAGCTCTGTGTAAGACTTTCTGAATGCGCAAATAACAGTTGCATTTTCATAGTACCTGTCGGATATGGAAATATTCAGTCTGGAATTCAGTTAAAAATAGATGTCGTAACAAACCACTTACTTCTGTAATTCGAAATTTTCGAGAGGTCGTTTGTTTGGCATCACAATCAAAGGGGTTACATTACAAGAATTTTGTGGTGGGGTGCGCGGAGGTGATTCATTGGATGGAGCCTTATCTGGAGATCGAACGCATGCATCTTTTGCCTTAGATGTTTGTCCCTTTCGCACTTCAATTTCTAATGTCTTGAAATCGTGATATAGATGTAAAAGGAATACCATTTGTCAGATTAAGGAGAAAAAAAGATAGATACTCACATCAGCCAGACATGTTGCGGCGGTCTTTGCGATTACTGACTTCGCAGTATCCACGCTTTTGAACACTTCGCGGTTATTTTGCTTCTATTAGCAAGTTGTTGTTTTCAGTCTATAAGCCTGTACATTGTGCAAGCAAGTATAAATTCTCATACCGCCTCAAATTTCTGATCCATCTCTTCAAAGAAATCAATGATTTCTTTTCTCTGAAATACACCTTCGACTGATGTGCACAATCTTGTTGCTTTCTGCCTTGCACCAGCAAGGATAGCATTAGACTTGCTGGCTTTCTTGAATTTTCTCATAAACGCACTCATGATGTCATGTTTGCTATCGGAACTAAACTCAACACGATCGTTCAGGTATCGGAGATAATTTATAACACTCCATTGTTTGTAATCAACTTCGATTTGAAAATCAGCGGCGTAGTTATCAAAGTCCATTCCTAAAAATCTACAGTAAAAACCACGATTAGTTATCTAAGAAAAATTTCCTAACTAATATTGAAGAATACTATCTCAGAACAAGCTAGTACACTGGAAAAGAGGATCCAGGAGTAGGCATTATAAGCCACAAGAAGGGATATAATGATTATCCCATGATCTCTCTAATCCAAGCATCGGACGCAGGGCTAACCATACGAACGTAGGATACTAAGCTTGTTGGTATACTGGAAAAGAGGATCCAGGAGTAGGCATTATAAGCCACAAGAAGGGATATAATGATTATCCCATGATCCCTCTAATCCAAGCATCGGACGCAGGGCTAACCATACGAACGTAGGATACCGTGGATACCGATAATAGCATGAAAACAAGAAGAAATCACTTAACTTAAAGGAATGCAGAATCGTGGAAGCTGTCTCCTGCGAATCGATCCCGGGCCGAAGAATATCGATATTGATCTAAAATAGCCTTGTAACGCTCGAGATCTGCTGCTGTTCGGTTAAATTCCGCAAAGTGAATTATCGTTATCGGCGCAAGGTAACAACGCGTTGAAGGGGAGAATCACGCGCAGCATCTGTCACATGTACGGAATTTGATGTGCCGATCACATGATCGCAAATGTTTGTTGCAGTCTACCCCTAATTATAATGCATTTTCGTTCTAGTAGTACAAGAAATTTTATTGGTTAATATACCTTGAACGCGTGAAATGCATTCTTTTATATTGAAATCGAGACCTCTTTATTTACAACAATGCTACTCTGAATTGACACTTTGATGTAAGATAAACTCAAGTGACTAATAAGCAAGTTGCCCTAGGCGTAATCTCTTGACGACTAACAAGGGAAGCATGAGAAGTGTTCAGTTTGGAAAGACGGCGATTATAACCTTATGTTTAGTACAAAAATGGCGTTTCGTAGTATAGACGATGTATAACACAGAGAGTTTAATATACTCGTTAGAAGGTTGATCGCTTCTTTGCATATCACGTTATGGAATAGTGTTTCCAATTGTTGTATTGTATCACTCGGGTATTGTATTACTATTGCGATGGATGCGGTATTTTTATTACTGTGAACTCGAGTTCACAGGCGCAGTAGGCACATGACCATGGAACAATGTTTGCTATTGCTTGGAACAATTGTCATGGATGTTGCTCCTGATGACGTTTGCACATAGTATCGTCACTTATGTAAAAGAAATACAAAGTAGCAATGAATTATAACTTTATTAAACTACCTATGCTTCTGCCGTAGGGAGGCGATCATTTCGCCGACAATCATTTCACCGACAATTATTTCACACAACCTCCCCATTTTTTCCGCAAATCTTGGAAGGTGATTGGCTAACAGTTAATTTTCCATAAAAAGTAATAAAATTGAAATGCAAGTTTTCTGAAATGTCAACGCAACAAATAACTGACGATCATCACTATTTTTATAAGTCTACCGATTTATTCGGCTGACAATGGTAACGCGGTTTTCGCCTTTTGCTTTGCATTAAATAGGATAATATAAGAATACGCTGCCGACTGTTACAATAGGGAAATTAACGATCATGTTAAAATAATTAGCTAACGGTACATTTATCAACTCTTCATAATTAAACGTATTCTTACAACCCACATATTGTCTTCAAAGAAGATGTAAAATATTTCTATTACAATTTATCTGAAACAAACAATATTTTTATTACGAGTTTGTATCGTACACAATCGCTTTCGCTGCAACGTACAATACCTCTATTATCGTAATGACA